AAAATAATATTATAAATGTGAGTATTTTTAGGTTTCTGTTAGAGGAACCTGACTTGTTGAGAAGATGGTTAGCTAATAGAGAGAAGTTTCATCCTATAACCAGAGAACATTTTCTAACTGTTGACTGGCAAATATAATTATTCTTATTTACAATTCATGCCAAATTTCCTATTACTGTCTCTGATTCTCTGTCAGATGAGGCAGCTTTAGTGTCACTAGAACCTGATTTATGTTTGGACAGTTTTTGTCCTGTTGAGCTCTCTGAATTATCTAAAATAATAACTTCATCCAAACCATCAACATGTCTGCTAGATCCCATCCCAACCAGACTGTTAAAAGAAGTATTTACCTTAATTAATATTTATATTTTAGATGTACTTAATTTATCTTTAATAAATGGTTACATGCCGCAGATCTTTAAGGTTGCTGTAATTAAACCTTTACTTAAGAAACCTGATCTTGATTCAGGAGTTCTGGTCAACTATAGACCTAAATCTAATTTCCATTTCCTCTCAAAAATTCTTGAGAAAATAGTTACAAATCAGCAACATGAACATCTGGATAGAAATAATCTATATGAGGAGTTTCAGTCAGGGTTTAGAGCTCATCATAGCACAGAAACAGCACTGGTGAAAGTTACTAATGATATTCTCATGGCCTCAGACAGTGGACTTGTGTCCATTCTTGTCTTGTTAGATCTCAGTGCTGCATTTGATACAACTGATCACAATATTTTATAACGTAGACTTGAACTTGATAATGGGATTACAGGAACAGCTATAAAATAGTTAGTCTTATTTAGCTGATGGATTTTAGTTTGTTGATGTTAATAATGAATCTTCTTATTCCAGAGTTAGTCATGGAGTTCCTCAGGGTTCAGTGCTTGGACCAATCCTCTTTACTTTATACATGCTTCCATTAGGTAACGTTATTAAACAGCATGGGATAAATTTCGATTGTTATGCAGATGATACTCAGTTATATTTATCCATGCAGCCTGATGAATCCAACAAGTTACTTAAACTACAAGCATGTCTTACAGATATAAAAACATGGATGACTCTTAATTTTCTGCTTCTAAACTCAGATAAGAAAGAGGTTATGGAACCTGAACATCTTAGGGATCAACTTTGCAGCCTTTCACCTCCTCTGGATTGCGTTAATCTGGTCTCCAGTTCAAATGTAAAGAACCTTGGTGTTATTTTTGATCAGGATATTTCTTTTAACCCCCACATTAAAAATGTTACCAGGACTGCCTTCTTCCACCTGCGTAGTATCACTAAAATTAGAAATATTTTGTCCAAAAATGGTGCAGAAAAACTGATACATGCATTTATCACGTCTAGACTGGATTACTGTAATTCCTTATTATCTGGGCATCCAAGTAACTCTCTAAGAAGTCTTCAGTTAATCCAAAATGCTGCTGCTAGAGTTTTAATGAGAGTTGGAAGGAGAGATCATTTTTCTCCAGTTTTAGCTTCTCTCCACTGGCTCCCTGTCAAATTTAGAATAGAATTTAAAATATTACTCCTAACTTACAAAACTCTCAACAACCAAGCTCCATCATACATTAAACATCTTATTGTTCCATTCTTTCCTAACAGAGCACTTCGCTCTCAGACTGCAGGTTTACTTGTGGTTCCAAGAGTTTCTAAAAGTAGAATGGGAGGCAGAGCTTTCAGTTATCAAGCTCCTCTCTTGTGGAACCAACTTCCAGTTTCTGTCTGTGAGGCTGACTGTCTACTTTTAAGATTAGACTGAAGACTTTCCTTTTTGATAAATCATATAGTTAGACTTAGGTTTCCTGAATTATTCTTCATTTCTGCTGCTGTAGACTTAGACTGAGCACATTTCCTCACTCTGCTGTCGTCTAGTCTTCTCTACGTTTATTGTAATTATTCTATCACATTTTTTCTTTGTCTCTTCCAGAAGAAGGTGCACCTGGACCAGTCCCGGACCAGTTCTTCTGTGTTTACCTGTGTCTCTTTCCTGTCCCTCAACCAGCCGGTCGAGGCAGATGGCCGCCTGTCCTGAGCCTGGTTCTGCTGGAGGTTTCTTCCTGATTAGCAGGGAGTTTTTCCTCTCCACCGTTTGCTCAGGATGGGAGACTGTGATGAAGTGATTCAACGCAGCCTGCTGTTTTCTTCTTTAGATTATTCTTTTTGTGTACAGTGCCCTGAGACAACGTATGTTGTGACTTGGCGCTATATAAATAAACTGAACTTGAACTTATTTTTTTATGAGAGTTAGAAGAAATAATAAATATACTTTTATTACTAGCTGAAGTCATCATTTTTCAACTAGCTAAGGTCTAAGTTACAGGCTGACTTCAGGTCTGATTTAGATCCTTGTTACTTATAAATTATATATTTTTCTGTTATAAATCTGCTGTTTTACATGATTGTTGAATGAAATTAACATAATTATTAATTTATTGTAAAAACATGACCGATAATCTATGAAACAGATCCAGTTCAGCTGCTGTTTATCTATTAGTTTCTATGGAGGCTGTGAGCTGTTGCCCTTTTAGACACCATTTTTGCTCCTCCATGCTGTCACAGACGCTACCAGTGTACGGTATGGCTGGGCTTAGTCTAGTGATCTTTATATTTAAGTCTATGGAAGCCACAAAAACAAGTGCCCCCTTGTGGCTAATTGCAGTGTAGTTTTCAAGTCCCTCCCCTCCATGTAACTGAAAGGGATATTTATTTTACTAAAAACAAAAAAGTACTCTTTACAGAGTTGCCATGTACAATTTATTTTTGTACATTCATTTTGCCTTGTGTAAGATCAATAATTACTGTAATGTACGATAACATTTGCGCTTCCATCCTTTGCTTCATGAATTAACTCTCAACATGCAACAAGCATATGAAAGAGATTAGTGAAACATGTGCTGTGTCAACTTAATAACATTGTCACCATATTTAACACGTTTTCAGATGCCTTCTAAGGCTATTTTTTCCCCAAAAAGCAATTAACAATTCTAGCAAATTTCACTAGTGTTACTGGAAACTCTTGGAGATTCTGATAAGGCCTCAAAGCACTGACAGACAGCACAATCCCCTTGCAGCATCCTTCTCAGCTGCAGTCAGAGCAGGAGATACAGTATTTACCCCACCTCATCCCAGACCCTAAATGAAACATGTCTGTGAAAAACTGCTGCTGGCTGATATGTATATTGTTAGAGTGTAAATGTAAACCTTTCTATGTCTAAAACAAATCACTGCTTTAAAACAACTCTGATCAGTTGTGAAAATAGTTTAGGACATTATCCAGTGATTTCTAGCATATAATCATTCTAGTTCATAAACAAAGTACATGTAAAACATATATGAAGCAGAATTCTGGTACACGATGATTTAACAGAAGACAGTTCAATCTGACTGATATTGCAAGGCCTGTTCAGTGCAAGTGGTGCCAGAGCTGTTTACTACTGTTTTGTTAGATTATTCAAAGGTAAATAAAAAATGTGTTGTAGGTTATAAAATGCTGTCTTTAAAATTGTGCTATTGAAGGAGTAAATTCTGAGCCGTAGAATACAAAAATTGTAAGTCACTGGTGCAATTCGTCAACATTTCTCATATGGCAACACAAAATATTCTTTGAGCTCTATTTCTGTTTGTATTTTTCCATGTGGACACTTACAACAGGCGGTGGAGAAAGGTGAGCATCTCTCCGAGGGGACCCACAGGTTTGCTGACCCTGTGTCAAACACCACGTTGAACTTCTGGGCCGGAGAGCCGATGCTGATTTCTCCGTAGTACTGAGTCTGTTACAACAAACACTATAATGTTTTTGTTCTTTAATGCTTTGGATTATTTATTTTGAGGGTATGAAATGACATTAGGACTGTGAGTCCCACACAAAGTTCCAGTTCAAAGGCAAATGGATCTGCTGTTTTTGCTTGAGGAAAAGTTTTTACAATGATTCAAAAGTGCAGATGAAGAGTCTTAGATGTGCGGGGCCCCTTTAACCCCAAAGATTAAAGTCTGCTTTTGGTGTAAAGCTCAACAAGCAAATCCAGATGCTTTCAATTTAACGTACCTCGATTTCTTATCACCTGTAGAACATCTCTCAGAACAACATGGTGAGGTTCACAAAACACCCTGTGTCCACAAATATATTTATATATAATGTAGTATTATGACGCATAAAATGTCTCACGTCCAAGTAATTGGTTAGAGGTGTGGGAACAGCCTTGTGGTTGGCATCAGCTGTGCTCATCTGGGTCAGTTTCGACAGCACCTGCTCAGCAGAAACACCCATCTCCTGCAGCGACTCTCTGATGGACGGCATCTTCTTCAGGGAGATTCTGAAACCCCAACAGGCATGAAGGGAAATATGGGACACCCAAAAAACATAAATTCAACGAGAAGCGATGAGTGCGATGACAGATGTACTGTGAAAAAGTTCTGTGCGGTAAATATTTCATACATTTGGCACGTGTTTGGTCCAATATGATTAGCCTGTAATAAATTACAGATGTGCTTTTATTCTAATGCCTGGCCAGAATAAAAAAAAACATTGAGGAAAAACATGTGCTTAGCCTGTTCTGAAATCTCTGGCTTTTTTAATGAACTAGCTAACACTTTGTGTTCCTGTCTTACTTTATGTTCCCAGGATTCCTCATCTTCAAATGCATCTGAGTTGTAAACTTTTATTATTCTATTTTTTCTTTAAAGAGAAATACATAAAAAGAGAGTTCTGTTTGTACCTTATTAGTTCATGGCCTGTAGTCATCCTCAGACATAATGCAACCAGAAACATCCAATAATCCAACAGCAGAGTCATGGTGATGCTGTGACAAACACGAAAACAAACAAAATGAATGATGCAGTTGCTGTGTGCTCCTGGTTTCCTGTGCATCCAGGTCTGACTTTGTGAAGCATGCTTCCTGCATGCTGCTCTTTTTATACCCCATCCCCTTTACCATATTTTTAATCATCCATCACTTATTATAGATGGTTACCCTTCATCCCACTCCTCTGCAATCGTCCACAGACCCCTCTGTGGTGAACATGGCTCAAAAAGGCATCCAAACTCTGACCTGCTGAGGACAAAAAGGTTGGGTACAGATGTGCTGACGTCAATGAACTGTGGCATGTTCTCTGTGAGGTTGTGAGAACATTCAGAGGAGTTAAAAATGCCTTGAGCTGTCAGAACAGACCAACTGAATGTTTGCCAGACTCTAACATAAGTAAAATAAACAGAGATAAAATGTGTAATCTGCTAAACCCACCTGTGGCTGCAGGTGTCCCAACTGGGACTCGTAGGGAGATTCCAGTTTCAGCATTCAAGTCCACTTCATCCACAGAGCCTGTTCTGTCAGCAGAATAAGCTCATCCATCTTCTCATCCAACTACTCCATGTTTCTGAGGCCCCAAAGCCTCTGATTTCCCAAGGTACTGTAGTAGCTGTACTCCCAACACATAGAGTTTTTATAGCTCTACTAGATTTGCCCAAAAGAAATTTTCCTTTAACTATTTGGAGTTAACTTTGTCTGTCTCTTAGCAAAATATCTTAGGAATCAGTGAACATTTTTTTTAAAACTTTTAGGCGCTATTTCATGGATGTTGATCTACAACTGGGTAATTTTTAGAGCCAACCCAATCCAAAGGCCATCACAGCCAGCTGACATTAGAGAACACACAATTGGCAATGCCTTTCAAAATGTTTGGGTCAAGTTTAGTTAACACATTCTTATGTCGGACTCGTAACATTTTGACGCTTGGGCACTCAATCTGTTGACGCGGGGGGTACCCCCCACGCATCCATCCTTGCCGCCCACAGCTTTTCCGGGTCTGAGGTTAACATGAGGGATCAGGATTAATGGTTAATTTTAGGGTCTGTGGTCAGGGATAATAGTTAATTTGAGAGACTGGGGCCAGGGAAAGGCTGTACATAGCTTCTATTGGTTAAATTCAGGGTCTGGGATGAAAATGGTTAATATGAGGGATCAGGGTTAATGATTAATTTTAGGGTCTGTGTTCAGGGACTCGTTCTCCTCCACCTCATCTCGTAAAGAACGGACGTGTGGGGCCTACCCCCCACGTCAACAGATTGACGCTTGGTCAAGCGTCAAAATGATGACGCAGGGGTCAGGAGAATGGCCTCGAGCATCAGCCCTGAAAAATTGTAAGTGTTTTCAACCCTCTTTGCCTGTTAGCAAAATATCTTGTGAATGTAGATTAATGCAACATTCAGAAAATAATCACTGGATATATATACACTTACAACATATTATTAGGAATGTAATGATTCACTCAAGCCCTGATTATCCATTTTAAGTTCACAGTTACAATTATTTAAGTTATATATTATATTTTTTTCATCAAAATTACTTGTAGCCATTTTATGACCAACTACGTTTTTTTCTTTTAAAATCAGAATTTTTGTCCTTGTATTAAATTGTTGTCTTAGTAACAAAACGTAACCTCAAAAAATAAATAAAAATAAAAAATAAAAGTCATCACAAACTATTTTGTGACCAATAGTTATCAAGCATCAAACTGAATTTGTCTTGAAGTCATACTTTACTGTTATACAATAACAATGACATTGATTCTTTCATTTTTACGAACCAGTTCAAATTTTAAGCAGTTATAATGTTAATCAAATGAATCTCAATTAATTGTTACATCCCCACATATTAACTTTCTGAGCTGGCTCAAATCAACATGGTTGTCACAGCCCCATGGCTGTAAGTCAGTCAGTTGCAAATCTTGTGCTAAAACTAGTAGCTGAGATCTTTCACAGCACTGACTCCGAGCCTGACCTCATGTAGTATTGCATGCAGTTGCACATATGGTTATTTTCAAGGTTCGACCTGAAGAGCTGCAGCTCTGTTCCTTCTCATCCTAAAATGATCTTAATCTAAACTGCAGGCATGTAAAATGTTGGCCTGTGTGCAGTCCTATAAGGAATGCTACTCCTTTAGTTGGACTTCTTTACTATGTGTTTGTAGTTTCTTCTTCTTCTTCTTCTTATTTTTTTTTTTTTCGATTAGCTGTCATTGCATGTATAGCCAAAAAGTATTAAGCCATCAGATCCTAAGTGAAGGGAAAAACCTCATTGAACAGTTCAGGATAGGTTGTAGGAGCAAACATGGTGGTTAAGATGAAGCTGTTATTTCCTCAGACAGCGCAGCGGGACATAAACTGTGTAAACACAAATCAGGTTTCTCCTCTTGTGTCAAAAGCTGCTGAAATTGATGCTGAATCTGTGACAAATAAAGAGGAAGAATATCATGACTTCAGGCAGTTTGTGTCTAATTGAATTTAAATGGCCTATTTTTCTCCCCGACACACAAACTTAAGATTTTATCCACGGAGCAGACATGTCTACACTAAAAATTCTTTGTAGCTTAAGAACCAACTCAGTTCAGTTTTTTTTTTCAAAATAAAAAGCAACGTGAGAAGAACAAAACACATATGTGTGTCGAGATCAAGGTCTTAGATAAAAACCGCTGGCAGGAGGCAGAGTCCATGTTGAGTGTTTTGCAGCAGAGTGGAGGAATGGCAGCGTGGAGTGTTTTCATTTGCACGTCTTGCTGCTGTGCTGAGGCTCAACCGGTCTTAACATCAAAATCATTTTTTTGCGCTCCCTGCATTAGGCGTCACAGAGGATTCCCACAGTTACTGCTCCGCCAGGATGGGCCGGTCTGTTGACAAACTACCCAGCTGAGCCAGGACAAATGTGGAGGTTCATGTCAGACAGCCATCACAAAGGTTAGAGCTCAGACACTGAATTACTCTCAAACAAATTTGTCATACACTCAGCAAACATGCTATGATGTGCAGGATGCTTTATAGCAGCTAACCAACAACTCTTTGTAATCAAGTGAGAGAGGAAAAAAGAATGTCTATAAAAATATCACCTAATTATCAGTTTTGCAGCTGAACTCTGCCTTTGAGTGAGTTTCTGCTTGCTATTCAGACTGGTTTGATTCACTTTCCCTGCTGTCAGTGACATTAGTCACCGCAGCACAGCCAGATGTTTTCAACACCAGGAAACAAGAACTTTTAAACACCTCCCTGCACCAACTGTTCCTAACCAAACAGTTTACAACAGCACCTTTAAAGGATAGTTTAGATCCTTAGAAATACGGCTCAATGAAAAAAATAAGCAGTCTAACCCTAACTGAACCAATAAAACTACTTGTGTTGTGAAAGACTGTATGCAGACATTTCAGTTTTTTTAAACTTAGAAAACATGCTGTTTATTTATGAACAGGTTAATAGCACGTTTCAGAGACAGTCTCACAAACTTGTGACTTTTGACCATCCTGGAAGATTTGGTGCCCAAGTTTCTTTTTTTTCCTCACACTGCCAAGCTGGATCTCTGTGTGCGTCACTCCTGCGTGGCCTCCCACCTCTCTGCTGACTCAGCTCAACTAGTGGTCATGAGAAACACACACACAGAGAAGTTTTGCTATAAACTAAGATTATTCTGCAATGAGAAGAAACACTAGGTATTTTGTTCAAACCTTATAAATGATGCTGTTAATCTCAGTAAAAATCCTACAAGATCCATACTTCTTAGAGTTTCTTAGATGTTTCTTAAAAGAGTCAGTAGAAACATTTTAAGAAACATCTTAAGACATTTTTATTCAGACAGGCTTTTAGTTAAGTGCTTTTTATTGTGTTTTAATTGTTGTTTTTATATCTGTGATCTGTTTATTGTTTTTAATTATTTTTTGCTTTCTGTGAAGCACTTTGTGATGTTTGTGTCTGTGAAAGGTGCTATAGAAATAAAGTTTACTTACTTACTTACTTACTTACTTACTTACTTACTTACTTACTTACTTACTTACTTACTTACTTACTTACGTACTTACGTACTTACGTACTTAC